AACTCTTTTAAAGTCAAAAATAAGCAAAGTAAGATTTAGTATTCTCTTCTCATATCCTTTAAATCCAGACTAAAGAAGTACGTAATTCAAAAAGCCTTCCACTTATCCTCCTCTCAATAACAATCTTTGCCCTAAGACCTAATAAAATATTTTGTTTTTCATTCACTTTATCAGATTTATTGGGCCTGGGTATCTTTCCTTGGTAAAACTGTAAGCTTCATGAGATCAGGGGCCAGATTAACTAATTTTTAGGGTTGCAAAGGCCTAGTACAATGCTCTACACAGAAAAGAATCTCAAAGTTTGTTGAATCCACAAATTTGATAAGCAAGTTCATATCTATCTTTATCAAGTCTCTCAGTGACTCAATAATTTAAATCAATGTTTTTTCTAGTTATCAATCTGTAACTTGGTCTGGGCCTCTCCAGACTAATGTTCCATTTAATTCCTAAGTTCAATAAAGCGTGGCAAAGCACAGGGATCTTTGGCATACCACTGAAGGAATTCCTCCAAGTTAAACCTCACTACTCTTGGCCTCTATCCATTCAAGTTACTTTTTTAATGCTAGTGGACTTCATGTTAATTTTCAACATTATGTTATTTGTGGGGAAAATGAAAACGGATACAGGCAAAGTTGTTCAAGTATTTCCCTCACTCATTTGAGGGGACTGAGAGATGGGTAAGGAGAGAAATAGCAATAAGTCCTTATTGAAACAGGGCCCCAGGAAGGATATTAGCCAAGATAATTGCATTTATAGTTTATTTAACACAGTTGCTTAGTCAGAATAATAACTAAGGTTATAGAGCTTCTACAGGTGCCAGCTATGCCTAACCATCATATTCTCCAGCTCACACCCCTCTTTATCATGTCCGCAGATCATAATAAAAGACTTCATCAAAATTTTTGCTTAAATCCAGGTATAAAATCCTGGGCAATGCTGTTGTGTAGTAATTAGCAGTGTGTAATATGCTGGTCAAAAAAAGAAATCCTGTTAGTCTTCTATAACCTTTTTCATGAATATATTCTGCCCCCTAATAGTCAACTTTGTTGTAATAATTCAATCTGATATTTAAGTGCTAAGTAGAGAATGCTTTAATATTATCTTCTTCTTGGTACCATACTTCTTTACTCACCAGATCAAGAGCAGAATAATGAAACTCCCCCAGTAGCTATAGTTCCAGATATAACCTTGTCTTCTCACTCAAAAAAATCTATGTAGAATTTTCAAATAGAAGGAAATCATTAACCCTCAGTAATAACAACACATAGATCAACTTAAGATGAAATGATTTTCTTGTTCAAAGTGAGTTAAGGCATATGAGATGAAAGACATAATCAGATTACTTCTGTAGGGACTTTAAGTGCAAAGGGGAGATATACAGCATGACAAGAGAGACAAAAAAAATCAAGAAAACATCCTCTCTGCACATCCACTTAATATCATATGACAAAACACAGGAAAACCACAATGGAAAATTGCTTTTGATAAAAGCAGACTAGTATTTTACTTGGAAAATGCCAAACCCACAACAAAGGGAAAACAGAAATACTAAACTATTAATCTGCCATGGGAGAAACTTATTGGGAACAGAGTAAATAAAGATGACAGCATTTTGATAACAGAAATCAGAGGAAGGCCATAGTTACTATGTGAAACTGCATTTTGAAAAAGCTTGAAGTTAGTATGTTTCAAAACTGCCGACCGTGTTGACCCTGGATCTAGATGTCAAGAGTCTTACCACTGTAGCTAAAAACTGAAGAAAAAAATAATAGTATTCATTCCAAAACTATCATCTCCAGTCTTTAATCTCTGTATGAAATGTACTAATTCTTTTCAAAAGCAAGCAATGGATGGATTCATTTTGCTCATATTCCATTTATAGCCTAGATTTTTCTTTTTTGCAGGAGTTGTCATTTTTATCAGTATAAGGAACTCCTGCTGTCAAAACTGCTGCAAGGGTGGGGAACCTGCAGCCTCAAGGCCACATGGGGCCCTCTAGGTCCTCAAGCGCTGTGCTTTGACTGAATCCAAACTTCATAGAATAAATCCCCTTAATAAAAGGATTTGTCATGTAAAACTTGGACTCAGTCAAAAAGCCACACCTGAGGACCTAGAAGACCACATCAGTAACATATTTGTAATTTCCAGTCTTAGTTGACTGGGACACTTAAAAGGTCAGGTAAGTTGTCTATGGTCACACAGATAGTTTAAGTAAGAAGCAGGATTTGTCCTATGTTTTCTTGACTCCAAAGCAGATACCGTTTCCATAATTTCATGCTTCCTCTTATCCCAAAAGGGGAAGGGAGCGAGGGTAAGGAACAAGCATTACTTAAGCACCTCCTATGTGCTAGGCATTGTGTCAAGCATTTGGGAACGATTATCTCATGTGTTCCTCACACCTTCCGGGTGGGTGCTATTATTATCCCCATGTTACATTTGAGGTAACTGAAGCAAGCAGAGGTTAAGTGACTTGCCCAGGGTTATACAGGTATTAGGTATCCAAGGTCACATTTGAACAAAGGTCTTCTTGACTCTGGTATCTACTGTGCCACTTAGCTGACTATGATAACCCTTGGGCTAATTATAGTTTTAGATGAAGATGAGATGGAAGTTATACCCCCTATATAATAAAAGGATTACAGGATCAAAGATTTAGAGGTGGAAAAAACCTCAAATATCATCATATTTAACCCCCTATTTTACGGATAAAAAATCTGAGACACAGAGAAGCAGGTTTCCTAAGGCCAAATAGCTAGTAAAAATCCATAATGAGATTTGAACTCAGGTCTCCTCAACTAGGAGAACAAGTGCTTTTTTTTTTCTATCGTACCATTCCCCATTCATTGGACAAGTAATGCACCATATATTTAAAAGTCACACAATGTATTTTCCTGTGGAAATCACTCAGTCCTACATCTGACATTTTCAAAGTAGAGGAGATTGCTCCTACAAATTATGAAATCTCTTCAAAAGTGACCATTTTCAATTTTAAATATATTTCCCTTCTTTTATCAACTAGAAGAGTCTTTTCTAGACTTTTATCAGTCTAGAAAAGTTGGTTTGAAATTAAACTTTATTTTCTCACTGACAAATAGTACAGAATTTCAGTAGAGGGACAGAAGTCATGGATTCCACTTACAGCATCCACAAAAAGTAATCAGCGACCACTTAAGGAATCCAAGTGACATGGAACTTCCTCTTGGCTCAGGTATAGCACTGTATTTTGGAATGCGAGGAAGTCTTTCCTTATGTTGAGCTCAAATTTACATGCCTGCAATTTCCAACTATCGGTCTAAGTTTTCTCTCCCATCTAGCATGACTCTTTCCATCATGAAACTAGAGGAGTTCCATAGGGGGTAAATGATTTTTTGGCAAAATGAGTTGAAAATTTTTGGCAAAGAAAATTTTTGGAAAGCAATGACTACTATAGGATGGTCATGATTATTCTATGTCGGTAATATTACTCCATCTGAGTTTTATGATCCTGGAACTTAATCTGCTGTTATGATTAGCTGCAATTCCTAAAGGAGATCATTCATTGCATCTCAAACTGTCAATAGATCATTATATACTCCAATCTGAAAGTTTCATAATGTCAAGGCTTTAACTTATTGTAAAGTCTGAGTTTTACACTCTATCCCTTTTGTCACATATCTATCTATCTATCTCTATCTATCTATCTATATATATGGATGGATATATATGTGTATATATATGGATGGATATGTGCATACAGATCTATGTGTGTATACATATATAATGTACAGATACACACATATATATACAAGCACATAGCACATATTTAACTGGCATATGTATGCACATGTGTGTATGTGTGATATATATATATATATATATATATATATATATATATATATGTGTGTGTGTGTGTGTGTGTATGTGTGTGTGTGTGCCTTATACATATACTAGCATAAAATTATATTATTTAATACTTTATGTTTACATAAAACTTTCATACACTCTATGTTATTGTTTCAACCTTCACAAGAACCATGTGCCACAGGTAATACAGGTAATACTAGTGCTGTTTTTCATAAAAGGAAATTGAGTTGCAGAAATCTTAAGTGAATTCTTCTAGGTCACACAGCCAATAAAAAGAAGAGCCAGTATTCAAACCAAAATCTTTTGATTTTAGGTTCAGGGTCATTTTTCTTGGTCTATGATAAGAGATAGCCAATTAATTCTGTAGTTATTTGTTTCATCAATAAATCAAGTCCAAGATGTTGCTGTGAAGGATGAAACCCATGATGGCCAGTATCCTGTTTCCCAACATAACACATCATCTCTTTTATTACCTTCTCCTAACAGAGAGACATCCATATATTCACATATTAATATTAAATTTTCTCCCGTAAGTTTAATTAGTTCAACCTAAGTCTCCAACTAACATTGTTATGAAGATTTGTACTCATGGTTACTATGAAGCCTATGGCTATTTTTTCCTGTTTTCTTTTGTACTTGGAAACATGGGATTTCACAAGAATCCCTAGGACCAAAAATTGACCTTTTGTTAACAAAAAACAAAAAGACAAAGAAAGGTATTTCTTTGTTAAATATTTCAATTGGCCATGTGGACGAGCCCAGGTCAGTAAACCCTTTCCTTTTACAGGAAAGAAATGAAACATTGACAGCCAGAATCTAATCATTAGAGCCCGGTTTAAATACATGGGTTATAACCGAAGAGCTAATAGGCAGTTTCTACATCCCACATTCTATGGCCATCATACTGAAAACGAGTATTTCATTTTTCAGCATAACACAGGAAAGAAATTTTAAAAACACAGTTCATATTTAGTGTAAGAATGATTCAATTTTATGGACTTTAAAGAAAAAGGGACAATAGAAACATAGGGAAAAGTTTTGAGACATAGAATTAAAATGTGTGTGTGTGTGTGTGTGTGTGTGTGTGTGTGTGTGTGTGTGTGTAAATAAAATTTGGCAAGGGGAATAGGGAGAAGAATTCATTTTGTTCCACTTACTTCTTTGTATCCAAAAATGATCCGCCCGTCATTGAGGAGGGTAGCTTGGAAAGTAAAACTGCCTAGGTTGTAATTATCCTGGAGATGTACGTGGTCCCACTGGACGACAAGTGCTGTACCTACAAACCCCATTGGGAAAAGAAGGAATGATGTAAGAACAATATACGAAGCAATGATCTGGGAAGAATTTATTCATTTTAAAAGAAATATCTTTCCTTCAAGCCTAGTAATTGTGCTGTTGGGTTATATATAGCTAGTTGGCATTCAAGGGCTGAGAAATAAAATTTACCTTTGTTTTTAAAGAAAAAGATTTAATATTATCTATTTAACAATTCACCAAAACCATAACTGCAGAAAGACATTAACATTGAGCCTGAAGTGGGAAAGTTTGCCTTAGGAGTCCCATTAATACTAATGGGTGCTCCCTCTCTAAATTTCCTAGAGCCACTTTCATAATACAGTCCCAAGTGGACTGGAAGGACTTCAAATAAACTTGAGAAATGCAGAAAGACTGAGCAACACATTAAATGGTTAGAGCCATTGAAGAAAAGAAAAATGTAAACTAAAACATTCTTTCACATTTAGCTTTATGCTATTCCAAAACAGACTTTTTTTTTTTACTGTTAATGGAAATTATATTTTTTGATTCCCAATGCCTGAATTTTTGTGTTTGTTGTACTGCTTGGAGGCTGCTAGAAGGTGGCTCAAAGGACATCTGGGCTGAGATTCTATGGCATTCTTGAAGTATACTGAGATGGGCCTTCAGCATCAAACCTCAGATTTTGATGATAAATCCTGGCAGGGTTTACTAGAAACTGTAAACATGCAAATCTGAGTTGGGAAACATTTTAATGAGTCCATACAGCCACTAAGAATTTTATACTCTCATTTTAACGGATATTATGCATACTTTATGAAAAAAAAAGGTAGAGGAGGGTTTTTTTTCCCTAATGACTGCATTCTTTTAGTAGTGTAAAAGATATTTTTCAAGAAACTTAAAAAGCCATGCCAAAAATGTAGCTAGCAAAAGAATTAACATAGCAAAACACATTCTTGCATCCAGGGAAAATGTGATATGAAAAACAAAATAGTGTGGTTAGAGCTTCTTTTAATGTCATTATTTTCTACTATTAGTAAAAGTTTTCTGAAGCAAACTCAGATTTTGAAGCATAAATAACAGCTTAGACATTCTAGATGCCTAGTACTCCTAAAGCATGTGAACTTTTAGAAATGTTTCTTTAAAAATAACTTTATATGTGAAAGCAATACTGTCTTGCTTTATCCCTGTATGCATGTATTATACCATCTCAGAATTGGAAAGAACTACTGAGGCCCATTTTGTTCAATCCATACCTGTATAAGAATCTTGTCTATGAGGTGTCCAATCAATGGACATCAATTTTTAGCTTAAAGATCTCTAGAAAGGGTGAAACTATAACTTCTAATATAACTTTGCAAGACACTTTATTTTACTTTTGGATTGTTCTAATTGTCAGGAAACTCCACTACACTTGTCTCCATTTGCCTTCTTGCATCTTCCCCAATTGTCATAAATCACATACTTTCAGGGTCAAGCAGAATAACTGTAATTCCTCTCCAATGTTACACTCTTCAAATACTTGAAGAAAGTTATCAGGTTCCCAATATGCCCTCTCTTTTCTAGGATAAAATTCCCTAATTCCTTCAGCTGAATCTTTCATGCTTATGAATACGAGATCTTACACTCTTCTGGTTGTCCTCGTGGCCACTCTCCAGTTGATCAATGTCCTTCCTAAAATGGGGCAACTTGAACTGAATCCCTTCCTCTAGGTAAGAGTATTGTTTAACTACGGTAGAATCCAATGAAACTATGACCCTCCTAATCTAAGATATGATGATTCTCTTAATATGGCTAAATATTGTATCAGCTTTTTTGTCTATCATTTGGTTTGATGAGCATGTATTGATCAGCTAGTATCAACCGACTGGTTGAAGGAAAACAAAAGAAATGGACACTAACGTCAAATGGATAAATTCTTGAGGTCAAGTGCAGGGTCACAGGGACAACAAATATGCAGATAGATGAGTAAAAAATGTATGTGGCATAATTCATGTTGAACTTTCAACATATTAAACCCCTAAGAACCTGTCCACTCAAGTGATATCTAGCTATACCTATCCCATATTGTAATTGTGAAGCTGACTTTTATACACTCAAGGGTAAGCTTTCATTTTTGTCATTTCCATAAATTTATTATTTTGAATTTGACAAACTGTCATCACTGTTTTAGTATACAAACAACAAAGACATGCTATATATGCAACTTCTCATCTTATTATGCACAGTTTATTTTGAGTATATACTGAATTCAGCATGTTAGTTTTAAAAGTTCTTACTAAACTTTTATTATCTTCCACACATTTTAAAGAACTTCAGTGAGGTGCTTTAAAAAATTAGCTCCTCTCTTCCCATTTCCCCTCAAAAACTCTACCCCTCCTATTGAGTAAGAATAATCACAAAAAGCAGAATCTGTGTATTACTCTTTTCTGAAAATGGATTCCCTAGTCCACAATTATAACCTATTATCTTTTTCAAAGAGTAATTAGCATGATTTTCTCACTGGTCCTCTAGAGTTGTGTCAGTCAATTCATTGGCCAGAATTCTTATTTATTTTAGCAATTTTATAATGCATAAATTATGTGGACTCTACTCTCTTCAAACTCAATCAGTTCATAAAAGTCTCCCTATGCTTCTCTGAATCTACCTCTTTCATTATTTCTCACAGTGCAGTAGTATCTCATAGCACACGTCTGCCTCGATTTGCTCAGCTATTACCCAACTGATTGGTGCCCTCTTCATTTCCAGTTCTTTGCTACAACAAAAAAAGCATTGTGAGGAATACAGACATGAACACTCATACACATATATTTACATAAGAGTCTTTTCCTTCTTTCTTCTGTCCCTTTGGCATATAAGCCTAGCAGTGCAAATTCAGTACTTTTTTGGTAGCTCTAAATTAATTTCCAGAATGGTGAGACCAATTCTCAGCTTTACAAAGAGCATATTATTATTCCTCTCCTCCTTCGTACTCTCCAACAAATGTCATTTTTCTATATCTGGGTCATATATGACAATCTGATGAGTGTGGGATGGTGCCTTGGAGATTTTTCTTTAATTTGCTCTCCCATTATTTTTAGTTATTTGATGCATTTTTCCATTTGGTTCTTGTTAACTTGCTTTATTTTGAGAACTACTTGTTTATACACTTTGATAACTACTGAAGAATGAACTTTGTTCTTCAATTCTCCCTCTCTCTGTCTTTGTCTCGCTCTCTAAATGGATGAATAGGTGTGAGTGTGAGAGTATTAGTGTGTGTGTACCTATGGAGAACAGCTAGATGGTTCAATGCAAAGAGTGATGGGCGTGTAGTCACATTTGAATTCAAATCTGGCCTCAGGCATGTATTAGTTGTGTGACTTTCAGAAAGTCACCTAATCTCTGTTTGCTTAGGAGGCAAGTAGGTGGCTCAGCAGATAGAGCACTAGGCCTAGAATCAGGAAGACGTGATTTCAAATTTGGCTAACAATGTGACCCCTGGGCAAGTCACTTAACATCTGTTTGCCTTAATCTAATGGAGAAGGAAATGGCAAACCACTCTAGTATCTTTGCCAAGAAAACCTTATGGACAGTATTGTCCATGGGGTCACAAAGAGTTGGACATGACTGACTGACTCAAAAACAACAAATTTATGTGTGTATATATCTGTGTGTATATAATCATACACACACTACTCGTATTCATTAATTCAAGCCTTTCTCTTAGAGCAAGAAAAATTAACTGCAAAGATTTTATACCCAGTCAACTGTTTCGCTTTTGGTTTTTAGCTGCAATGGTTTTATAAATGTATATTCACACATACACATATGCACATATATATTACATATATGTATGTGTTCTGAATTTGACTCAGTTCTCTATATAGTTGACAGATGAGGCCTTTATCAGAGATACCTGCTGTCAGAAAAAAGTCCCTAGTTTTCTGCTTTCCTTCTAATGTTGGTTGCATTGGTTTTATTTGTGGAAAACCTTTTAATTTAATATATTCAAAATTATCCATTTTATATTTGATGATGCTATCTCTTGTTTGGTCCTACATTCTTCCTTTATCTATAGATCTGACAGGTAAACTATTTCACATTCCCCTGATTTACTAATGGTAGTAAGCCTAATAATTTCTGACAGACTGTTTTCCAAAGTTTTTTCTGTAGTTGTCAAATACTAAGTCCTTATCCTGGTATCTGGAAGTTTTGTTTTATCCATCTCTACAATCCTCTGTTATTTTGCTTCTGAATCTTGTTTTTGTAATCTGCTTCATGGTTTAACTTTATATATGTAGCTAGTACCAAATAATTTTTAGGATTATTATGTCAGAGAATAGTTTGAGACCTGATATTACAATGCCTCCTTTCCTATCAATCTTTAAGACAAATTATTTTCTTACAAATTTTGACTTTTTGTTTCCCCTCATCCCTATTTGATTATGTGTGTAAGTATGTATTTATGTATATGTAATATACATATATGTAAACACATAATTAAGCCTTTGGCAATTTGATATAAGTAAATTAATTTAATTTATATTATCATTTTATAAAAAGGGCCTAATTGTGAAGAATTAATAGCATTATTTCTATAAAAAATGTCTTACAGTTATATTCATAGAGTTACTCTATGTGTCTTCACAGGTGGACTCCGAAATATTTTACACATTCTGTAGGATTTTTTTAGCAGAATTTCTTCTCTATTCTTGCTGTACTTTATTTATACTGTACAGAAATCACTGTACAGAAATCTAATGATCTTTGTTGGTCTATTTTATTTCCTACTTTATTAACAATTACAGCTAATAAAATTACTGGTTATTAATTATTTAAATTGTTTTAAATGAATCTTTAATATTCTTTAAATAAGCCATCTTATCATCTACTAAAAGCAATATTTTTGTTTCCAATATGACTTTTCTTAACCCTTTAACATCTTTTTCTTTTCATTTCTATGGCTAATATTTCCAAAGTTTTAATGAAAAAAAACAAATCACAGTAATAATGGACATATTTGCTTTACCCCTGACATTACTG